CGCCGACCCGCTGCTGCTCAAGCTGCTGCGCCTGGCCCAGCTCTGCACCGAGTACCTGCTGCACTCGCAGGAGTACCTCAGCGCGCAGCTCGGCAGCCTGGAGGAGGCTCTGCGAGAGGCTCAGGCCCAGCGCGACCAGCTGGGCGAGGAGGTGGCCCAGCGCGCGCAGGAGATCCAGGGGCTGAAGGAGGAGTGCCGGCGCAGGAAGAAGATGATCTGCACGCAGCAGATGATGCTGGAGGCCCGAGCCAACTACCACCGGGTGAGAGAACGGGGCCAGCCGTCCACGCCTCGCGGGCTCTGAGCACCCTCGCTGTGCTGCAGTGCAGTCACTCGCTGGGGGAAAGACTGGAGCTGTAGGGACGAGTGACCTGACAAAAGGAAATGCATTGCATGCACTTTTTTCCATCAGTGTTTCACAGAGGTTTGGCTGGGATCATAGGCATTTGGGAGAGTGCTACACCATCTTTAACAAATCTTTTTACTAACAAGTGCTCTTTATTCTTGGATTCACTTTAGATGCACCTGAAGTGTCAGATACACACAGACACAAAACCTGTGATGTATGTGTTACTGTTGTTTGTGGTCTTTCCTTCTCTGTCTACTGCATGGACAGAAAACACAGGGCAAGTACATAAGAACTGATGCTGAGCAGTAACCTACCTGTCTGCCAGTACTCACTTTCCTGCAGTGATGTTCTCCAGGCACAAAGTTTCTGCTTGTGTGTGTGACTCAGAGGTGACTCAAGCATGATGGTAAAGAGCTTCAGTCAGTTAGCTGATCCTTGATTCCACAACAATTTGCTCCTTAAAGGTCTTCCCTAAGAGGCTTAGTACATTGCTGTCCTGATTGTCAGTGTCACGGCGCTCTCTTTTTTTGGGAGGAGTTTTGTCATATGGGTGTAATAGTTTAAGTATTTTTCAGCCTCAGCATTTTCCAACAGGTTTCAGGAATTCAAATTGCAGGTTCAAATGTAGTCTGAAGTCTAGAGAGTACACTGAAGGCAGACTTGACATGATTTCAGGGTAGGTCTTTGTGTCTGTATGTTTAAAGTTATGGCTGAAGTTCAGTTTTTTAAAACACCAGCTAAGTTGGCTCAAGTGTTTCTGTAAGGCAAAAGATATATTATGCCCCAAGAGCAGAGGTATACATATGGCAAGGTGCATGGGAACCTTGTGTTGGTACATTTGGCTGTTAGTCATAAGGTCAAGCTGCTGATGTGGTATCATTTTAAGAAAAACCTTTATGCAACTTGCAGAGCAGTTTGTCTGCCCTGTGTTGCAAAAGGAAACTGGTTGCGTGCATCATTTTATGTGTAAACTCGAATAATTCTCATACTGTGATTGCCAAATATCACCATGTTTTCCTGAAGTGTTTGTAGAATGCAGCTGTCTCTGTGGAAGCTAGTTCATCACTAGTCTTCTATTCAGTGGCATTACAATAAAGCAGAGATGGAAACCTATTTGCCATTTTAAATTTAGTTTGGTATAAAGTAAACTTCAGCTCTCCCCCCCCCTTTTTTCCTCTCTGTTAGTAATTTCTTGTCTCTAAAAGTTATTTAGGTTCATGTGGGAAAAGTGAGTGCAGGGAATGGTGTTGAACAGTACCTGAAGTTCCTACAGTGTTTTCAGGATTCTAAGTGTGAATTCCAGAGATGAGTTAAACTCATCCTAGTGTTTGTAACCAGAGGGCAGCAGTGTGATCCGTAAACAGTAGTGGTGTGGTATTTGTCTGCATGATCTTGTCTGTCTGCAGTGTCAGGTAATAGAGGGTTTACTGGTGTTCCCAAGAGGGTGGTCCAGATTCCAGCCCCTCAGAGTCTTGGCTGTTTTGCAAATAAGCCTGTGAATAGTTGCTTACCATTTTTAGTGGAGGTACATTTTATGGCTAATGAAGTCATACTTTGGAATTCAGATGCCTTTAATCTACCACCAATGTAAGCTTAACCATGAGGTGCTACTATAAAATGGTATTGGTACCTACAAGTCATAAATGTAAGACTTTTTGGTCTTCACCTGAGTAATATAAATTGAATTTTAAATAACATTTTTCACTTTTTTGATATTCTGTCCAGAAATCTTATATTCTCATGTACAATGTCAGCATAAAGTGCATGTTGAAATGTAGTAGCAAGGAAAAATGTTGCATAATTCAAAAGCTAAATATTCCCTGTGTTAATCCTGTCTCCTGCAGTAAGAGCTTTCTTTCTCTACCAGCAAGTTGTACTGACATGAAGTTTGTGCTTGAATGGCTAACATTATTTCACAGCCAATTTCCTTCCGTAAATCATGTGCAATCTGTTACACTGTAAGCTCCCTCCTGGTTGGCAGTAATGCTTTGCTGCCATACTGTATCCCTTGACTTTGGTTTTATGTTAGCATTTATTTGCTTTTGTCCGACAAAATTTGTCTTAATAATTCATGGCTTTAGTGTTTGCTGAAAGGTGTATTTAACAGGATACCTGACTACTAGTAGCAGCATTTTAAATATTAAATGAAATCTGGGAATTATGGTGACAAGATTTTCAATCTGTTAAGTTGGTCTATTATAATCGTATCACAGTAGTAAGGAAAAAGGACTCGCTTGAGTATCTGTGGTTTGTTAAAATACATTTATTTGGGAAAAGGTGTGAGAAAGGGAACAAGGAACCCTAGCCAGAGCACCGAGGGGCCCTGGTTCATAGTTTGACAAGTGTGTTGCAGGGTTTGTAGGTGTAGTTGCTGTCCTTGTACTGCACATCTGGTTTTAATATTCTGAACGCTAGTAAAGTGTATTTCAAAGGTGAACAAAAAAGGTATTTTAAAAAGGGAGGATCCCAATTTGACTTAAAATTGAAATTCAAAACTAGTAAGTAAATTACAGAAACAGTAATTGAAATAGCTTTACACTTTAGGAGGATGCTGGGTAGCAGACTAATGTATCTCTGTGTCTTTTCTTACAAAATTGAGTACTATAACCTTCCCTTGGTTGAAATGTCTGTGTTTTTTACCTATGTATGGTTCTTGCCATCTTGCAGCTCATTTGGATGTATGCAAACCCATCTTGTTCAGGTTTTTTCCACCTGTGTGGTGCTCTTTGTTGTTAAACATGAATCTTAAGAGCACCTGAGCTGCTAGTTGGCTGGAGTCTGTGTTTTGCTGAACAGGGTTCTCTTACTTTTTTCTTATACTTCTCTACCTACATATATTAATCTCTTGTCTGTTGGCTTAGATCTGGATTTGAGCTTGCTTGGCCAGAGTCTTCTTTTGTTCAGAGTTTGTGCAGTGCTTAGCACAATGAGATTTTTCCTCACCACCATCACTGTGAGATATTAGATAACACTACTACACTCATGACTTCACAGAAATTGGGCACCATGAGCATTTTAGTCATTATTCTTGTGAGTTGGAATCTATTATGAAGTTACATTCTTTTGACATCTGGACAAAATGTAATAACCTGTTAAAAACTTTAATGGCTATATTTACTAAGCAGATGTTGCTAATACGGTTTTGTCTGTTGGTTGTTTTTTTTTTTGTAGTGTCAGTTTTGTGAAAAGGCTTTTATGACCTATTCCTTTTTACAAGGTCACATGCAAAGGCGTCATCCAGGAGAATCTGAGATTGGTATGTACTTTAATGTTATAAAAAAAATTAACAGTTCAGAGACCTGTCAATGTAGTGAGGATGTGCAGTCCATGCTTTTGTGTAACTTTCATTTTTAGGTGACATATACCAATTTGTGTGAATGCAACTGACAAAATATATCGGGCAACATATGTCTCAGTCTCTGGAAAATAATTGACAAAAACTTGTGTGCCATTCTTGCAGTACCTTTTCAGATTAGCGTTCCTGCTTCTTTAGCCAGTAGCAGAGTTCGGAGCACAGTTTCTCTTTAGGCATATGTGTTGTGAAGGTGTGGATAAAATTAACAAGTTGCAGTAAGGAAAATACATTTTGTAAATAGATATGAACTTTCAATACAGAAATAATCCTTTTGCAGATATATATAATTGCCAATACAGAAATAATCCACCTCACCTGAAATCAGTTTGAGTAGGATTAGGCTCTCCTGAACTCAACTGAATGTAAAATATAGCGAGAAAGAGAAACTGTTAAAAATAATCTAACTTCAGCTAACTATGATACTCTAGGTTTCTTTACCACTAACTTGCATGCATTCGTCTCTCTTGAGAGATGTTTAGTTTGGAAAAAAAAATGCTCTCAAAGTTTCTTTCATTCATCTCTAAATTCTTTCCTTCCCATTAGGGTGCATGCTCTTGACTTGCTGCTGGGGACTACAAGTATTGACAAGTGGCAGTGGTTAGAAACAAGTTAGGGAAAAAAAGCACTTGGGAGGAGAAAGAGTGGGAAGAATCTAGTGAGGTCTGAACTGTAGCTTGTCAGGCAAATAAAACTGCAGCAGACAGTGAGAGGGATCTGAGGAAATGAGAAGACATTGGAAGAAGAAAGAAGCTCTTCTGCACCTTACACTTCATATAAATGATAGTGGAATATGCTGCAGAAGCATCTGAAGTAGCAATCATACAAAAGGATTGGCCTGAAATGGCTCTAAGAGGGAAACACCTCATGCAGTTATTTCTGAAATAATATTTTGCATTGTGCTCAGATTTGCAGACAATGGACTAGGAACTCCTTCTCAAATCGATAAAATGCTTCAAGATTGAAAACTGCTGTGATTCTTGCATATTTTAAGTTTTCTTTTTACAGTGACATTCCCCTGACTCTTTCCAGATAAATAATTAGTTGTATTCCAAATGGACTCCTTACAGAAGTTATTTAGACTAAATTGAACCTAGCAGAATTGAATAACTAAGGTTCACTTTGTCCTTCATACATTCTTTTTTGAGCCTGTGGTGCCTAGATTCCTTTGAAATTAGATTATAGAATACTTTCTCATGTAAATATTTCATAAACTATTTGACATGTCAGTAGTGCGAGTATTTGAGGATAAGTTAGCAGTCCAGAGAATATATGCATGTAAAAGCATCTTTGGAGAATGATCATAATGGAGGGGGAAATGGTCTGAGTGTCACATTTGATGAAGATGTTACTGAAACACTAGAAATGTCTTTGCAGTATTACAGTTCCAGAAATTGCATCAAACCTTTCTAAAATCTGTGTTTCTTTCAAACAGAACAGAAGAGGAAAACAAAGACAGACAAATTGCAGGAGGAGATTGAAAAACTGAAGGAGCAGTTGCAGCTCACGAAGTCCCAGTTAGAGTCTGAACAACAGGCTAATATGGTCAGGCTGTCTAAGGTAATATGAACATCTCCAAAGAATTAGTACTTTGGGCTGCATTCACTCATTTTGTAACTGGAACAGAGTAAAAATGTATCTACAGGTTGCCTGTCAGGCAGTGATGGTGTTTGGGCATTAAAGCATAGCTCTCCCTCGCCTCCCAGAATTTTGAGCATCTACTTTTTCCTTACTTTTATTTTAGACATATTTTAAATGAGTACTTCAGACAGCACATCTGTTAACACTTGCCAGTTCATATTGAAGCAGACAAAATTTCCTTGCTATAGTGAAATATAAGCAATTTTTGACATGATATTTGGTGATGATTAAGTGTTTCCGAGATATTAATGTGATTTTACATGTGACTTCATAGACTGAGTAGAATTTGTTCTATGCTGTGAAGAACTTTGCTGTCCAGCTGAGATGTAAAGCAGCTCAAGGAAGAGAGACTGAGAAAAAACAAAGCTATCTAGAACTTGCACATTGGTCTTTGAATCCTTAGGATTTGGCTGACCAGAGAGCCAAAGCAGAAAGTAGTCTTAGCTACTGCTGTGTGAATAAACCAGAATGGTTTAAAAGCATTATCTGTTTGTTATCACATGCAACACTTTGTTTATGATAATACTGAATCTTGGAAGTATGCTTAATGGCTCATAAAGAGAAAAAATTAAGCAGGTGTCTTGGAGATTTTTTCTAAAGCTTCATAATTTCAGATCATCTCATGGTTTTCATTTTTAAGTAAATGCAATCAGTTTATTTGCTATAGAAACAGGGCTGGAATTTTTATTTTAATGGGAGAAGGGGTTCGTGCTTCAGTGTGAGGAGCAAATTTTTGACATAAGAGCCAGGATACATCTCATGATTGAATTAAATGCTGATCCTTGTATTGCAGTTTGCCCTTGTATCGAGTTCAAAAGAAGAGTTTTATGGTTGTTAGCATAACATGTGAGAAGCTTCTCTCAATATTCAGAACTACTAAATTACTTTTCTAATGGAGTTTGAGGATCTTCAAACATAAAACCAACCATTACATCTTGAAAGAAACAATCAGAGGGCAGGGATACCTCTCCTATGAAGACAGGCTTGAGAGAGTTGGGGCTGTTCAGCCTGGAGAAGAGAAGGCTCCAGGGAGACCTTAGAGCAGCTGCTCCTAGCAACCAGTACCTAAAGAGGGCCCAAAAGAAGGCTGGAGAGAGACTTTTCACAAGTGTGTGTAGTGATAGGGCAAGGGGGAATGGATGTGAACTGAAAGAGGATAGGTTTAGGTTAGGTATTAGGAAGAAATTCTTTACTGAGAGAGTGGTGAGGCACTGGAACAGGTTGCCCAGATAAGCTGTGGGTGCCATATCCCTGCAAGTGTTCAAGGCCAGGTTGGATGGGGCTTCCAGCAACCTGGTCTAGTGGAAGGTGCCCCTGCCCATGGCAGGGGGGTCAGAACTAGATGATCTTTAGGCCCCTTCCAACTCAAACCATTCTATGATTCTATGGTTTTGAATGTAAAGGGAATAAGCAAAATGTGACTATCATTACATTATCAAATGTATCATGACTATCATTACATTATGAAAACTGTGTTCAGTTTTGGTCCCACTATGAAAAAAAGCCGTGGGCAGGCTGGAGAGGGTCCAGAGGGGGACCACAAATATGGTCAAAGGACTGGGAAGCCTGTCACATGGGGAAAGGCTAACCAGATGTGTTTAGCATTGAGAAAGGAAGGCTTAGGGGAGACCTTACCACCATGTTTCAGTATTTGAACTGTGGCTACAGGGAAGATGAAGACTCCCAATACAAGTTCCATGGAAGAAGAGTGGTGCAAGTTAGTCTTGAGGAGATTCTGACTGAACACAAGAGGAAAATTTTACACAATGAGAACAATCAGCCACTGGAATAATCTCCTCAGGGAAGTGGTGTATTCCCCAAAGTTGGCCATTTTTTAGATTTGCCTGGACAGGGTGCTGGGCCATCTTGTCTAGACCACGTTGCTGCCAAGAAAGACTGGACCAGGTGATCCTTGAGGTCCCTTCCAATCTGGTATTCTGTGGCTGATGAATATTTTCTTCCTTGTTTTCAGAGGAAAACCTGGTTTTCTGTAAAACATGCAGTGTTTCTTCCTCTGAACACAGCTTCAGAATCTTCTTTATTTCAGTCCTCTTGCTCCCCCTTTCTTGGGACTGTTCAGCTTCCTGGTTTGTTTGTTTGTTTCCATTTTCAAAAGTATGCAATGATCAAATCAAGAGCTGGTAGAGTTTCACTGAGGAGCACAAGCACTGTCAGAATAATGGGCCTTGACCCCATGTGGACATGTGCTAGGTATTCTGCTCATTCATTCTGTGCCTTGTTTTTGAGAGGCACATCTGTAGCATATTTCTACTGCCCTGAAGAATTGTTTTGCTTATGAGGTGGAACTTGGAATATTCATAACAGTGCAGTGTGGATTTTTTGGTGCCCTGGGGGCCTGTTTTGAAGTCACTTGTGTTAGCTGAGGCTCCTACCTGCAAAGGGATTTCTTGAAATGTCCTGAAGCTACAGACTGCAGTGTTACACAACAACAAGCTTTCAAAACTTCTGTTTTTCTGGGGTGTCAGGGAAGACAGAAATGTGACTGGTTACAGTTTGTCTGTCATGACTGACATCCACTGTCAGTTCAGGTGTCACCATGTTACTGTCTTTTGATTGAAAGAGCAGATCTTTCCCATGTGTATGGGTTTGGGTTTTTTTGAAGGAGAACTCCTACTGGAGGGAATTTGTATAAAAACTGCCATCCTGCCAGTTCTTGTTCCCTTCTACTCCTTTGAGGTGAAAGGATTACAGAAGATCCTGTTCTTCCTAGGCATACAATGATTACTTGTTATAGTTAGTCAGAGGACAAATTCAGAGTGATTACTGTGATGGGGAGATGTAGGTGTTGCCTAAAAAATGTGTATATCCTGGACAGTGAAATGCAGGACTTTAAACAAGTTGAGAACTATAAAAAAATGCATCACTAGGTAGTGGAATGGTTGAAGTAATTTAACAGCTGAAGTGGGGTAAATGTATCTGGGGAGAAAATACTTCTAACTTCATCTACAAATTGATGGGGTCTGAACTTAGTGTTATTACTGAAGGGCAAGATCTTAAGGTTGTGATACATAGTCCTAGGGAAATGTTAGCCCAGCAGTTAGCAGCAGCCAGCAAAGAAAATCAAATATTGCACATTATTCTGAAACATCACTGTGCAAGTCACAGCCTAAATACCGTGTGTATGTCTATTTCCTTCATCTCCAAAAGGATAGGACAGAGCTATAAAAGTTATGGAGATGGGCTACAAAGGTGAGCAGTCAGTATTTAGAATGACTGAGCATACTGAGAGTTGTCAGCTGAAAAAGGCAACAGCTTGGTGGAGATGGAGGGTGAGATACTAATACCTGTGAAGTTACGAGCTAAAGTGAATAGTGATCAGTCATTCACTCTGTTTTCCAGTTCAGGACTTAGCATCCATCAAATGAACCCAGCAAGAGTCAGACAACAGCAACAAAACCTACTTGGCTCTTCATGCAGCTTGTTGAGCTCATTGGCAAAAGATGTTACAATTGCTAAAAGCTGATGCAGCCACAAGGAATGACTGCAAAAGTGTATGAGGAGAAATGTGTTGAGGGTTGCTAAGTTTGCAAAACTGCATCAGGCTGAAGAAGTCCTCTGAGTTGAAAACAGTTGGCAGCTTGAAACTCTGAAGGAGAATGTGCATGTTTGCTTGCCCCAATATTAACCTTTCCTACTTAACACACTTAAAAGCCTCTGTGAGAAAAAAGATGCTGAACTAGGGTGGATGTTTGATATGACCAAGTAAGGTGGTTCATGTGTTATTCAGTGAAAAATAACTACTTGCCTCAAGTTTCTTGCCGTATACTTGTTTTGCGAGTAAAATATATAGTTTGCTACTCCAGGGTTCTTCAAGAACTGGTGGGGTTTATGTTTTTTGATGTCGAAATACTGCCCATTGAAAGTGACTGCATCTCATACATGGTTTGGGTGCTTGAATTCGTATTGCATGTGAGGAAAAATAACAAATAGTGTTTGTAAAATAATTTCAGGAACGTGAACAGCAAAAATCAAAAGAAGAGGAAATTCTACAATCGTTTCATAAATGGAAAGAGGAGGAAAAAGAGAAATTGGCTGAGGAAATAGAAAAAGTGAAAGATATGTTTATGAAAGAGCTTAAGGAGTTGTCTTCAAGAAATTCAGCCTTAGAAAACGTGAGTGACTTAAATTTCCTAACAGTGTGAGGTATGAATCCCTTACAATAGATGGCAGTGAACTTCACATATTTGAAATGTGGTGTAGTCATCATAAAGGTCTTCTACAAAACTCTAATGGTTGAATGGTAGCCATAGTCCTATCTTTGTATACGGGTACTTTATTAACATAATTTCAGTTTGTTGTTTCTTTTTTTAATGGCTTTGTTTTGGATGAATGAATGATGCCTTCAGCAACCACGTCAGTTTTTCCTTAGTCCTCCACCTTCGAATGTCTGTTTTTAGCTCAATAGATACTGTTATGGTTGCTGTCTGTTGGGTATCCCTATGTGAATATTCTCATAACTGGCATGGAGAAGACTAATCTCTGCATTCTAGTCCTGTCAGTGGAATTCATGTGCTTTCAATACATGCTCTGGAAGTGCTCACTAGAAGGAGAATCATGAAAGTATGGGTGGGTCAGAAAACAAACACATGCAGCATTACCAGAGCAGCTCCTGTTTTGTAGCTGTTAGGTCCAGTGTGTATTTACAAGTCATGTTTATGTTAGATGTGGATATTAATAATTGCATGAAATTGATTAACGTTCAACTCATGAGAAATGGGAGAAGTATCTGATGTAATCTCTGCATAGTTGTATTTAAACTAAATTTTATATTACATGGAAGCAAACAAAATCTGTATATGTTTTCTTAATTCTTCACCCTTCCCTTTAGCAACTGCTAGAATTACAAAAGTCCAATATGCAACAGAAATCCAATTTAGGAACGCTGAAAGACAGCCATGAATTTACAGATGAGAAACCTCAGAGTCCTCAGGATTACCACAATGTGGCTAAACTTCTGGACAAACAGGTAATACTGTAACTGAATGTATGGCTTTTGATAGACTACTCGTGTTCTTCTGATTTTTGCACCTCTCTGAGTAGGATTTGATATCTGTAAGGAAAAATTTTCATCCTTCTCAATGCCTAAAATAGCTGGTTTTAAAGATTTAATACTATTTAATAGTATCTATACAGTAGCAGTCAAGGAATTATTTTCCTTATCCTTCATAAAGTAATTGTTATTTATTTATTGATATTCTCTTATTCTTTATGACTAAGTATATCTAGGTTTGCCAAGTATGGTTGCAGTTCAGTTCCAGAAGGTTCTAATAAAGCATTTATGTCTGCTGATCTGTGAGGCCACTTACTGAAAAATTGGAATATTTTATTTCCCAAGATGGAAAAAAAAGTTAAGAAACCTTCTGATAGGCTTTGTCAACCTGTGGCCCTTGGTTTGCTGTAGGTTTTTTGACACTTTGAAATGTGCGTTATCTATTTTGTGGCTCTTGGGATGTGAAGGTCCTTGTATACTGCTGGTGTCATTTGGAAATTTAGTCACTTCTGCTCAAAGATGTGGAAAACTTAGTTTTACTTTATGGGGTTTTTTTGTATTTCATCAGAGAAAATTTGCTCATTCTAAAACTCGTATGTTAATACTGGGTTTTGTCAACATTATGTAAAATATATTGTTAACGAGTGCTTGAAATTACATTATTTGGGGGAGTGAAACCCCTGCTCTTAGAACTCTTCCTGCTATTACACAGATAGGTACCTAAATACTTGTGTATTTCTCACTCACAGTCACTGCATTTACAAATCACAGAGGAAATACATAGTTTCTGGAGTGATTGGTAAGAAAACCACACTCCTGTGTATAAAACATGACTGTTCAAGACCTTAAATAAGGGATTACTCAAGCATCATATCATCAGTAGTCTTGATGATATTTATGCTTTATTTAGAAAAAGAAATCTGCATATGAACTAAATGGTGATGTGCTATTCACAAGAAATAAAGCCGCATATATTAAACTAAATGTTAGTGTATTGTTAATGAGAATTAATATTGATTACCTCTTTGCAGAAAAGAAAGTGGACATCTAAAGTCCAGGCTCTTTGTCATGACCACGAGACAGAAAAGTCCCTGGTAAGTGGCACAGCAAACCACTTAGACTAAAAGGAGACACTTTTCTTACCTTTTCAGTAGTTCTTGATATGCTACAATAAATCTGTCAGATATCAAGAGTTTATAAGAGTGTGTCCTCTTAGCTGTATTTATTATCTATGTCTCTGTTATGCTATAGCCTCTTGATGTTCCAGTGAAGGCCGAAGTTGAAACAGAGTTTATCATTTCAGACTGTGACAGACACCTGAAACTTTCTCTCTTTTGAGGAGCCTACAGCTTGTTCTGCAAGCACTGTGTTACAGTCAGTGTTACGTGGATAGGCTGGAGTGTTGAGATATGACTTGCCAGCATGTAGCTTTCATCCACCCTGCACCTGCTGCTACCATGGACTTATGGCTCATGTCTCAGTCTTTTTTCTCTGTTCTGTCACTTCTCTACTGCTGTTTTCTGTTGCAGCTTTCTAATGTGGAATCTGTTGAGCTTTTCCAGGAAAAAACACCATGGCTTTTATTTTGCATCAGTTTATGTACTTTACTATGCAAAGCTTTATTCCTCAGATTTTTTTTTTATGTCTGCATTTCTTTTTAATCTTTCCTGCTTTGTTTCTCTTGCTTCTTTTCCTTTCATTTTCCTTTCATCTGCGTGACCATGTAAGAACTGAGCAGATCATAGTGGTCTGACCAATGCTTCTCCTCCTCTGACAAGAAAACAGTGGGGAGGAACCATGGAACATTCCCCAAAAAGGATGTAGTTAATGATACACCCACATACAATGCAAGAATAGAATAAGGGAGGAGCAATGTAAGTATTACTTTTGGGATGTGCACTTAAATATTGTCCCCTTTCTTCCACATTCAGAGTTAATATGTTAGGTTTATTATGCAAATTCACATCTCATCTCCTTAAAATATCACTATTTGACACTATTTGTAATTAAAGCATTTTTATAGACTTGTATGCTTTTTCCTGCAATCTTACATTTAGGCAGTCTCAGGATTGTGTTTGTATGTCCCTTCCTTTGTATTGAGATTTAGGTAGTCCTCCTTGTGTAAGTAAAAAGTGATCCAGGCAACTGTTCTGTAATACATGCAAGTCCCAGTGAAATCACAGAAGACATTAAGTTTTTGCTGAAAAAGAAAGTGTTAAAAGTATCTAAGCATGACACTTACTTGTTTAAACTTTATAGCATTAAAATACTTTCTATAATGTTAAAATGGAGTTACCTTTCTTCTGATTCTTTCTAGCTGCTATCACAGATTGAGATGATTAAATTGTCAGCGAGAGAAGACTTGAATAAAAATGACACCTTTTACAAGAGTAGGATAGAAGAATTGGAGCAGAGGCTTCAGCAGCAGAATGATCTGGTTATTACTCAGAAGAAACAGGTCTGTTTTGTGAAGCATTTTGTTTCAGGGAGCATAGAACACAGTGAAACATTTTACTAGCATTTGGTCTTTGATACGTCTCTGGTTGCATATTTAATATTCCCAGTTTGTAATAGCATTGCTGTAGTATTTTGGTTACACTTTGGAAATTATGTTGATAAATAAGAATAGATCTGGAAAAGAGACACGGGAATGTAAACCAGGAATTAAAACACATTAGAGAAAGAAATGCTTAGTAAACTAAATACTTCGTGGGGTGCATTAGGAAGACAATTGCCAGCAGTTTGAGGAAAACGATCCTCCCCCTCTACTCAGCCCAGGTGAGGCCACATCTGGGGTGCTGTGTCCAGTTCTGGGCTCCTCAGTACAGGAGAGACAGAGCTCCTGGAGAGGATCCAGCAGAGGGCAACGAAGTTGATGGAGGGACTGGAGCATCTCTCTCCTGAGGGAGTTGGGCCTGTTCAGCCTTGAGAAGAGACGACTGAGAGAAGACCTTATTGATGTGTCTAAGTGTCTGAAGGGAGGGTGCCAAGAGGATGGAGCCAGGCTCTTCTCAGTGGTGCCAGGCAATAGGACAAGAGGCAGTGGGCAGAAACTGATGCATTGGACATTTCACCTGAATATGAGGAAGAACTTTACTGTGCAAGTGATTGTGCACTGGAAGAGATTGTTCAAAGACAGGAACCATCTGGACACAATCCTGTGCCATGTGCTCTAGAAAGACACTGCTTGAGCAGGGAGCTTGGACTGGATAACCCACTAAGGTCCCTTTCAACCTGATCCATTCTGTGATTCTAGGGAAAGGTTCTTCACTGAGAGAGGGGTCAGTCACTGGAGCAGGCTCTCCGGGGAAGTGATCACGGTACTAAGCCTATCGGAGTTCAAGGAGTTTCTGAGTGATGCTATTAGTCATATGGTTTAAATTTTAGGTAGTCCTGCTAGGAGCAGAGAACTGGACTTAATCCTTATGGGTCCCATCCTGCCTGAGGTTGTCTATGTTTGGAAATTGTTTTTTTCTTACAATAACCTTCTGTTGAAACATAGCTATAGATTTTTTTGAGGTGGTTGAGGGGTGAAAATCTGGATAGTCTGGAGTTTAGACTGTGGCATGATTATGAGCCCTTACAGCCTATTCCTGTATTAGATGGTGCAGTCTTTACAAATCAACATCTGATTTTACATCTTGCACTTGAGATGAATGTTAAACCTGTACTTAAGTCCTTAAAGAATGGGAAGACAAATAATAGCTTTTACATCTCCACCTTAACAAATTTGATAGCTGGAGCAATGGAGGACTTAATACTAGGTGATTTTTTTGTGGTAAAGTGACCCTTTAAAAGAGACCAGATGGACATACAATATGTTCAGAAGGGTCCAAGTTTAGTTTGTGAAATAACAGTTGTGAAGATCTACATTCTCAACCCCTGGAAACTGGAAGGACTTGAAAAATATCACTCCTGTAATACTCAAACTGAATGGACAGTGAATTGAGGCACCACTGGCTATAGCCAAACTGATAAACAAAAGAGGACCAGGTTCCAATATGTTGTGTCAGCTCCACCTGACATTGACTGTGTGTCTGTATGGTTTGGGTTTTGCTTCTCTTTAGGGAATTGGTGTGCAGATCCTATTTTTTAATGATCCAGGATTCACAAGTTTCCTGTTTTCTTTAGATGGAATTACAGCCAGTGTGTTTCCTTTATGCTTGTCTTGGGGTGTCAAATAGACAAAACTGTTCATGCATTTAAAATCAATGTGTAATGAGTGTTTCCCTGGAGTGGAGCTAGACTTGCTCCACATGAAGAACATGAACATGAATTGCTGAAGCAGAAAGTATTGAAACTGTAAGTGCTTAAGTGGCCCATAAGCTCTCGTTTCACTTTATAGCTTGTAATAAATAACAGGATATGCAAAGCATGAGTTCACGTTAAGACAACAAACAGAAGTAAGTCTTCGAGCTGTCATTAACCATGAATGAAATACATACTGGGCAGTAGAACAGAGTTCCACAGAAGCAGCATTTTTCTCCCTGAGCCATAACTAGTAATTTCTGTTATAGAATAGTACTGAAACTAGGTATTTTATGCTGAATCTTCATTCTAGGTATTGGTCCTTTGCATTTGTAACTATTCATGTGTGTTTTGTCTTTTAGATAAATGAATTGTCCACAAGGCCAGTTGCAAGCATTAAAACATATGATGGTAAGTACAAGCTTTAAGAAAACAGATTTTGTTTCTGAATTCTGCAACCTGGATAAAACAAATGTTACAATTCATTTAAAAATATACACACTTTAGTAACAAAATACTGAAATAAAATATGTGCTGGCACTTTAATTTGTGACTTGCACAGCACCTACCTCATTCCATGTCATGATTTACAAAGGTCATGTTTTGCAGCTGTAAGGACTTCTAATGTACAAAGTTGAGTAGTAAGAGATGTGAAATAGGGCAGCTCTGTTTTGAATTCTGTAAAAAATATTTTGGCTTTGCTTTATGAAGTTCAGTTTTGGTTTTGTCATACTTGACTGTCCTTAGGTTGCAGAACTCACAAAAGGGAAAATAATGAAAGAGTTGACAAAACTAATTAACTTGTCAGTTAAGCAGCAAATGTTCAGGAGAACGTTAAGAACTCTGATATTTTTGTCTGTGCAATGCTTTAGCATCTGAAGTCCATTACAAATAGCTAAACCACGTAATAGTGGTTTAGGATGTAGTCCTAAACCACAAACACCCATATAGTTGATGCTGCAGTTGCAGAGACTTGAAAAAAATATTGCAATAGATGATAACAGCTGAACTAATTCTAATCTCAGTTTGGAAACCATCTTGCTGTATTAGGCATTGATTTGAACTGGAGCAGGGAGTAGGTTAAGTCTGAGCAGAGTATAGTAATAGTATGGCCATGTGGCTTTTCAACTGTACCTGGTCATATTCAGCTACCCTGAAGCACAGACAAATGTAAGACCATGGCACACAGATGAATTTGCTGCTAGGCCCCGAGCTGATCTGAGGAATGCAGAGTTGAAGTGCTGTTTCACTCCAAGGCTACACTCTGTACTTGGTACAGATAGGGTTTGCACTAACTGATGTGGAGTGTGGATGCTACAGATCCTCTTCGAGGCGTGTAAGCCTCAGTCAGGCTGGCCTTGACTAAGTAGCTTTGGGGCAAGACTTCTTCCCTGTGACACAAAGACATCATTGGACATGGTCAAAGACATGATCACATTCTAGTTCAGTAATTGTTTAATTACTAGTTTATTTTCCTCGTTAAAGTTATTAAAGAAGTTAAGCATATATAGGGACGTATTTTTATGTTGTGAAGAACCAGTTTTTACATTGTCAATTATTTGTTTATTTTTTCCCCATTTAAGCCAAAAACGGCCTAATTTATGCATATAATTGACTATTGCTGCATTTAAGAATGTTTGTCTGTTATTGTTTGCTATAATACAATGACTTTATTTTTTACTATTATGCTGTTTTAGTGAACACTACTGTTGAGCGTCTTGAAGAGCCTAAACCAAACCCACCAGTGATGCATGGTAAGTTTTTTTGATAGGTCCAGATCCAGTACTTTTGAATCTAACACTCTGTCTTCTCAGATATGTTGCTTATATAGCTCTAGGAGTAGTTATATTGAAAGAACGTAATTTGGATTGCTTTGCTGTATGTCAGCGTTGAGAATTCCTGTGAAGCAGTTATAAAGATGCATTATTAAAAGAATAAATGAAAACCAAATGAAAATAATTTGAGAATATTTCCTAGCCCATGTGTAGTATTGAGGCAACTTAAGGTAGATTAAACTAATTGAGAAAATAAAATTATGTTTTCTTATGGAAAATATGCTTATCTAATATATACATATACTGGATAGGTATATGCATCTACTGGTGTATATATATGTATAGGGAAATCTGTGGAAACCTTTGTTTAGAAGTTTTGAAATACTGTATTTTCCATGTAACTTCAAATGGCAAGGAGGAAAAATACAGAAGGAACCATCAAAACGGACAGTTACCCTGTTCAGGTGTTTCTTCCGAAGTATATCTGTGGTCACATATAGACCATTATTTAGCTATTTTAACTTGTTGGCACTGTGATATCACTTAGAAGGGAGGGAAGGGATAACCTTCATTTACATGGCTTTGTACTTTGTGAAAATAGGTTTGTTTTCTTTCTGAGTATGCAAAGTGATGGAGAGAGTATTGTTACCACACCAATATTCTGTTACCACACCAATATTCTGTGGTCAATCAATTCTTTCCTTTCCTTTCAAGTAGGAAAATTATGAAAAAGGAATCTTGAGCAAGAAAAATGTTCAAATATTACAAACCAGTTTATTTTGAATTACAATTAAATAATGGGGGGTTCTTATTATTTCTCTTAGTTTTAAAACCTGTCAAAGGGAAATGAAATGGAATATGTCTGTGGAAAAATTAGAGAATATTTCTTTATCAGCAAATACAAAAAGTTCTGAAAAGGGATATAGGGCAATATACATCAAGATTTTGATAACTTGATGAGGAGTGAAAAACTGATGAAGTGCTGATTCAAAATATTTGTTCCAACAAGAATTATTAAACCAAGGAAAAGATTTTCCTTATTATAGAATAACATTATTTGAATAATATAGAGATTTCTTTCTAAGCTCTGCAAGGTTAACAGTTCACTGCCTGAAGCTTCCTAAATTAAACTATATGGATGAAATGTTGTGTGGAGAAAAGTAATAATATATTAAGTGTAGAGTATTAGTTATAGTATTTTAAGCAGTCTAATTCTTCTTCATTCAAACCAGCTTCATTGCCCCAGCACAGTAGTGCTGGTTCTGGCTAAGAGATGTCACAGCAAGTAGCTCAGCTATTGCCCTGAATTTAAGGAATGAGCTTTATGAAGATTATTGCTGTTCAGGACTTACCCGCCAAACTTGTCAAGCATTACTTTCTTAGTACGTTTACTTCCATCTGTACTCAGGGCAACAGGTCTGAAAACAGTTCTGTGAACATTAGTATTTTCTGTACTCTGACAATTTCAATCAGCTCAGTCAGATCTTTCATGATTTCTTTCTGCTCCAAATAGGAAATGTGTGGCATCTTGTGGAACTTCTCAAGATAGAAAAGGCTGTTCCTGCCCATTGATACACAAAAGATTCACCATCAGTTTGTTATGAAACCTTAAAGAGGGTGTTCCCTTCAGATTCCTTTGCTGATTATTATTTCATTTGTCTCTGCAGGTCTCTCTGTCTGTTCCCTTTCTTCCCTTCTGGATTTTTTTTAAACTTAGCTTACCTAATTTCTGGATATAAAGGTTAGCAGAAGTTACAGTATCTTTCCCAAAATATTCAGGGCACCTCAAGGGGTTGACTTACATACTGAATTAAGACATCACGGCTGCATCTTGTGCCACTGTGAAAATGAAAGCACTTCCTTGTCACTTCTGTAGACAAACTTACTTAGCACAGATCATCTTGGAGATCACAAGAGCTGTAGTTTTCCTACCAAACAGTTGTTTGCATATGGAATATCTTCCTTCTTTTTGTTTTCCTGTTTGAAAGAAAATTAATTCTGGAAAACTCTCTCTTTTCGAAGCTGCTCGGAAGCTTTTGCATCCTAATATTTGTTCTACACATCTTAAATCTGTGTTACAAAAAGATACCCAGATTACAAATGTGAGGTGTCTTAGGTGAAAAGTAGTAGAATATCTGTGCTAGCCTACTGGCTTTGTGTTAACATTGCTGATTTCTGGTGGGAGCTAGTAGAGTGCCTTGTATACCATCCTGGCAGCCCATTCTTCTGTTCCTTTCTGAGAGAGCTGTAGGGTTTTATGCAGATATAACTTAAGTCTTGTTTGCAAAGATTACTTCAGTCTCACAGAAAGGCAACAGATTAATTATAATTTATTTTTTTAAATAATATTTTA